AAGGTGGAACTGCTTTATTCAGTTTTTTGTATTTTGTTTTGTTGTTTTGGATACTGTTTTATCTTTTAGACAAGGAATTTAGTAAAAAAAAACAACAGTAAAACAAACTGAAGTGCTAGTTTAAAAAAGAGCTACTGACAGCACACTTTGATATGTGTTGTTTATTCACAGCCGAGTATCTGAGCTAATTATGCTGCTGATAACGTTATTGACATGTTAGCTCAGCTGATAGGACTCTGATAATATTTCACTGTCAGCCCGGCAGCTGCGTAGATAACACTGTGCTCTGAAGCTACGTTAGCTGAATTGCTAACGGAGGCTTGAGGCTGTGGGAGCGTTTAGCCTCCTGAAAAGCCTCATAAATACACCTGTCTGCTGTTTTCACCCCTCAGGGAGCTGAATCTGTTTATAGCTGCGAGCGCTGCACTCTCAGACCCCGTTCTCTCCACCGGCCTCGCTCTCTGTTTTTAATACTTTATCTATCTCGCTCGCCCTCACTCCGATTGACTCCGGGACTTCTCCATCACAAAGCGATAACATGTCTCTCCTCTCCCTCGCTCCCCTCTTTCCTTTAATCCACAACAACTGCATCTCAGTTGGTGTTACACTGTAGAATTCAGAGTGAATCTTACCGAAATTAAATCAAACATGTAATCGCAAACTTGAATTAAACGTTTTTTCCTCCTTATTCATCTCTGTAAGTTTCTGCTTAGCAGTCACATACAGTAGCGGTTGACCTTCATTTCCATCACTATCTGTGTCTGTGTACGTCGGCTGTCACACGCAGGTGTAATTTAAAGAAACCCTCAGTGGGACTGAACGGCGTCTTTATTCAGAGACATCACGCAGCGCTCATGATGACCTGCTGCTGTCCAATGTAAATCACAACAGGAAGTTTCCAGAATAAAGATTATGAATTCTGGCCTGAAAGGTCCTGATGGTTCACAGGCATGATTTAGTTTTTATTAGTTTCACTTTTTAAGATTACTCTATGTAATTGTCAGAATAGGTACGACAATAGAAACACACTGACCAACGCCTCCATTCCTGTTTATTTTATTTAAATTAGTTCTGTAAGTGAAAGACAATATTGTTTTTATAGTTAAAGCTATAATATGTAATATTTCTGCACTAAAATTTCTATAAACTCTATCCTATGTTCTATATGTAGTTGAGTAGCGTTCTTACAAACTCATCAACAACATCTGTCATTTCATACAGGTAACGCTGCGTTTCACCAGTCGCCTGTTCGCCTTTAATGGTTTTAATCAGCGGGGGTCTCATTTATAACCGTTGCGTACGCACAAAACGGGCCTGAAAGTGCCGTACGTGACTTCCACGCCAGGTTGTGATCTATAAAAAAACAAACTTGACGGGAGAATGTGTGCCAGCCCTAAGCAAGACTCTGACCCATGCGTACGCATGTTTGGAGGAAAAGGAGAATTGCGCGACACATTACGGTGTGGGGTGGTGACACTTGGAAGTCAGACTGAAGAAATGTAGAGTGAGAAGAACATTATGTTTTATCATCGCCCTCATAAGTTTAATTTCACCCGCTATCATGCGTAAATCGTATGCTAATCAGAATGATTTAAGTCAACTGGTTATTTCTCAGTTATTACTCCAGCAAACATACTCCTTGAATCGAAATGAAAATTCAAAAATCAAAATTCTCTATATTTAATCCCGTCCCTCCATACTGGGTCCCACTTCCCGGAGCCGCAGGAGGGAGGAGACGGACGGCGGGACTGCATGGAATAAAGCATCTGTCAACATGTTCAATATAATATCTTATATGCGACACTGGTAAAACACATGAATTCCAATGGTCAATTAAATCCCAAGTGTGGAAAACCAAGGGGGCCACATACTCCTCAGCACAATTCGTTGATGATTTATTGCTCCGTTCCTCTTTGATGCCTCTTTCATGACAAGTCAGGCATTAAAAAGGCCGGTTGTTCAAGAACATTTTACGGTCAGACCACTTCTTTTTTTAATTCTGGGACTGTGCGGGCTCCGTGCCACTGACAGAGGTTCACTGCTGGCCAGCAACAGTTGCCCATCACTCTGCTTTTTGCTTGTTTAGTGATCCCAGTCCCGTGACGCGCGACAAATACTTTCGGCCTCCACCTCACCCACAAGTGTCCACTTTCAACCTCCGTGAAAATTTTGCTTTTTTGCCTTTTCTCAGTCCTTCTGCTTATTGTCCGACAAGACATAATTACTTTGCCATCTGAGGTCTGTTTTTATATGCAGTCGCCATTCATGGAAGTCGGCTTGCATTTGGACGCATTATGGTTAAAAAGGGGGCGCTGTTACAGGGCGGAACGCTGAAGCCTGATTCAGCCTGCGCACACTGTAGGCACTCTGTGATTTACGTAAACGCAAAGATTGCTTACAGCGGTGTGCGCTACGCAGGGGTTTTATTAAGCTGGCTGAATAATTTTTGGCGCCACGCAAAACTTGGCTTCTTGGGCGTACGTACACTTTTGAAAGTAACGATTCCCACGCACACTTTTATAAATGAGACCCCGGCGTCTGTTTGTTTTGGAGAGGAGGAGACCTCTGTGGATAATTGGGCTCCCGGTAGAAACCTCCTGAACCATGAACACTGAAGGAATCCTAACCGGGAGAAGCTGACTGCAATGACGGCAATGATGGTGAAGAAAACATGACCCCACGCTACTTCTCAAAGTCATCTTTTGTTATTGTTTGGATGTGAGAGACCCCCTAGCAGCAGAAATGACATATAGTACGCTTAAACATCGACAACATAATCACAGAATGTGTGATTACTGTTACTGCATATTTCTATTTTGGGACTCTTGCCCTTCCAATAACACATTATGTGTCTCTGTCAGTCAGAGAAAATAAGTATACACATCAAAGGCATGATATCTAGAAAGGTATAAAGTAAGCAATAGGCATTTATTTATGATAATATGTTGCAGCCAGAGACTCGGACGCTTAAGTGGTAACTTACTTTATTTCTGCTTTCAACAATAAAAATAAAGGAGCACATGTCTGTCCTCCAGCTTTCTCTCTGTATTACTAGTGCAAAGAGTAACGACTGAAAAGGAATTGCTCTTACTAATACCACTGCTTGCTCACTACTACTTTTTCTAAACTGGCCAGACTCACTCAAAGGCACCACCTGTTGGCGGATGCACATTCACAAACACTGCATAAAGTGCTAAATTATGAAGAATTGAATTGTAACAAATGAATAATTGCAGCCTAGAAAAACATATTACACCTGAACATCTGGAATATAAACATAGACCTACATATAAATAACGAATAACAACAAGGATGTAATTGCAAACTGAACTGTTTGCAAAATAAATTTAATTATACTAAAAACATTGTGTGGTCTCTTGATAAACAATATAAAAAAGTAAACTAGGAAACACCAAAATAGTAACCATAAACAACCTGAACTAACCTCTCCCAGGAAGGCATCAACAGTACACATTCAGTGTTAGAGTACATCACAATGAAATCAATTAGGTTTATCACTATGAGAGACACCTTTGTCACATTATTATGGCTACCTTAATACAAATAGTCCGCTTGCAACAAAGTATAATTTCCGCTTTGAAATCCTTAAAATAGCCCCTACTCCTTCTGCTGTTTTCCTGCTGGACACAAGATGCCTCCTTGTGATAGCCACACTAGCAGCAACACACTGAACCAAACACATGGTGGTAACTCTTCATCATTACTTAGTTTAGGTTTTAGCACTCATAATGCATGTACAGATAAACAGCATGGTTTCGTAGCACACAGTTTTTAAAGCCATTTTGACAACAGTTGTGTAGTGCAAACATTTACTTACTCTTCTTTGCCAATCTTGCTAATACTATTAAGTTCAATAACTTAAGTTATTTAATTTTCATGAAGTTAATTCACCATTCACCATGTTCCTCCTGCGTCATGAGGCAGTGTTTTATAGTGTGTTGTTATTATTTCCTTAACATTATTTCATTATTTTTCCTTAGTTAATATTAGGTAGCGCTATACTGACATGTTTTGTGGTTACTTTGTTTAAATGGTTATGTCTTAGACTATCCCCCTGTGTGTCTGAATGGCCTGATCTGATCAGCCACTGTATAAGTGTGTCCCATGTCTCAGTTAGTAAGGTCACAGCCTGCAACAGAGCTGCTGTGTGATTGTTAAGAATATTAAAAACAATGAAAAGGTAAAGGATTTGGTTGCAGAAGACTGTGTTTTGGGTAATGTTCCTCCATGGATATTTCCAGTACCAAATGTGGATTTGCAGCTTGCGGAGCAGAAGAGAGAATAGGTTAAAAATAATGTGGATATTAGGTATTTGGTTCAAGATTAGGAGATGAAAAATTATAATTATATAGTCTATTGATAAAGATCCAGAAAATGGAACCGGGGTATACATAACTAGGTCTGACACAGTCATATGCAAAAGACCTAATGGTAGATTATTGGTGTAATCACTTTAGGATTACATTGGATAGAAGAGATAAGGCTGGAGAGAGTTGTCATTTGCTCAGACTCTACTGCAGCTCCTCATAGTCGGAATTCAAAACAAACAATAAGAGATGACTTATTAATGGAAATAAATACAATAGTGCTTAGAATACAAAGAAGGGGAACTGATGTACAGTTGTGTTGTGTTCTTGCTAATGTTGGTGTGGAGGGTAATGAGAAGGAAAAAAGTTCATCATTAATAAGGTTTGGAAGGGATTCTAGGGAAGAGCGGCAGATATAGTTTATGTTTATTTTGTTTGCAGGGTTTTAATATAATATAGCCTGAGGTATGTAAAGCCCTGATGTTACACACTCCGGTACAGTAGGTGGCAGTATGCA